CGCCCCCTGGGTGACTGCAAAGCCAATCAGCACAGGCACAAGGCTGAGGAAAGGTCTACTACTTGTAGTAAGCAAGGGGTGCACTGGGGATGATCCCAAACTGGTGACGGGTGTCCCCCAAACAAGGAAGGGAGGGGGACCACTTACTGGGAAGACCTCACACGTATTCATGCCAGTAAGACTTGCGACAAGTCTTACTGGGGGGGGCAGTTTCCTGCGCATGCTCAGTTGAGATGCTTAGGAAGGCCTGGTCAAAGATCTGGCTGTAAGGCGCTGGGACCCCTCCTAGCCTGAAACTGTGTGCAATTGAGTGAAACCGTCTGGGTGCTAAAACAAGGTAGGTTTGGGGATCAACATGGACTGTAAGCTATAATACCACAACTTGAGCTCCTTTTGCAACTGTTATATTGCAGCAGTTTGAAGTCCATTTCATTATGGCATAAATCACAAATCAGATCAGTAAAATGGACAGTCCTCATTTAAGTAGCCCAGAAAATAAAGGTAATGCCCTAGTGGAGCCAGGAGAATAATCTGGTGAGTCAGTCATTTATTCCCGGTGCTCCTGTGGATATTTGTTAAAGCCTAGATGCCTGTTTTGAATCTTTTCAAGGTGCTTTTGGATTTCACAAGTGTTCATATTAATGCCATGGGAAGTATATTGGCAATAGAAAAATATCCTTCTTGCTTGGCTGGAATATAACCTAAAGGAATTTTGTTATGGCACACTGATTTCCCTAAGAATTCTATACCTTTTTGTTGAGCGCAAGGTGGCCCAGGAGGTTTCATTAGTTGTGCTTTTTCAGGGTGAAAGACTTTGTCATCACATATAAAAACACTGGCACAAGCTGGCACATACCTGAGCATGTTCAGTTCCAGATCATGCTTCTTCATACCTGTGTTCACAGGTGGCAGAGGGAATCCTCCTGGGTGGAAAATTTTGCATAATAATGAATTTGAAGCCAGTGGCCTCCAGATTCCTGATGAAGGGGTATTTCCAGGCAGCTTGGAAAATGGTAGCCAGGTAGGTGTAGCTGAGCCCTCCTCCTGCATTGCTTGGAACTGCCAATTTTAGTCTCAGGAGTCCCACTCATTCATCCCTGAGGACCAAAGCACCTGAGGTGCCACCTCAGGCTCCTGGGTCTTGTGTGAACTAGGGTCAAATCATGTGTTGGTGTGGGTCTCCCTTGCTTTGGACAGTCTCTTTTGCTTCCTTAACAACCAGCGAGGAGCCAGCCAACAAGGATTTCTAACAGACCAGTGGTATCCCAAGTTTCTGACTCAGGCATTCCAGGCTGAGAGAGTACAAAGCACACCTGCCCAGGGTCCATCCCATACAGTCCTCACCACCTCTAAGCATCCACCTCTCATGTGCAGACTTCCAGTTTAACAAGGTCCCCCACCAGAACTCTAGCAAAGCTTCTTCAAAGTCCCTGTGTTGAGAGTGATGAAGCAATAATGGATACTTGCCCAGCTTTAAGTAGCCGATCCACTGCAGTTCCCTGGGATGCAAATTGTGACAGTTCTATACTTGTGTATGTGTACTTCTGCTGAACAAAACAGGACAGTGTCCAGTAACCAATCATTCCTATGCACATACATGTAAGCTGGGATTTTAAAAACAATAGCCTCATCTTATCCCCATCAGATTTGGCTACCAAATGAGCTTCACAGTCAAATATATACTTTAAACATTAGGTAAAAATGTTTTTGGATTGTTGTATTGCTAATAAACAATCATTGCACTGTATTCCAAATGCTTCCTTGCGAGAGAACCTATGGGAGCTGAGCGCAGTGGTGCACACCTGTAATTCCAGTGGCTCAGGAGGCTGAGGCAGGAGAATCAAGGGTTCAAAGCCAGCCTCAGCAACTTAGCCAGGCACTAAGCAACTCAGTGAGACCCCGTCTCTAAATAACATACAAAAAGTTGGGGGTGGGGGGCTTCTGGGGAAGTGGCTAAGTACCCCTGAGTTCAATCCCCTGTACCAAACAAAAGGCGAGTGCCTACGGGGGCCTGCATTCTCTTGGTGAAAGCAAAGAATATTACATGAATCCTCCACCTTCCAGTGAGAGGTCTTATTGATGTCAATACCAGAAATAGTTGAGGAGGAGAGTGAGAAATAATTTTGAGGAAATAATTCCTTTCCATTGCTTACTGATAATCTTTCCTATCTGTACCTTTGAGAAATAAAGTGCAAAAAAGTAAATTAAAGTCTTTAAATAATGGCATTTCAGTGTCCCCAAAATATATCTGTGTCATCACTTCCTAGCCTAGGTCTTCTTTGAACAAACTCACTAAAATATTCCCTGGAATACTGAAAACGCAAAGTTAACCTTCAATGGAGTGCAACACATGGAGAAAAGTAGTATGTTGCAATTAACAACAGGGATGTATATGGCTCTTCAATAATGGAATCCACATCAACAGAGGTGACAGAGAAGTGTGACTGTGAATGGAGAAGAGGATGTGCTGAGACTGGGGTCTATCTAAATGTCCTGACATTTTGCAGCAGTCCCAAAGGAAGGATCATCATCTCTGTAATTTCTACTTCCTGATATCTTTGATATTTTGCTGATCATCTATTTTATGTCAGTGTTCTCCTTGCTTCTCAGAATGCAGTGGGTGCTCTCAATTCCATTCCCTATTGATCCTATTGAGAGGTTCTGGCACTTTAGCCAATTAATGGATGTAGGGATTCCAAGCAAGACCCTGTCTCAAAAAATAAAAAAGAGTTGGGGACCGGTAGTAGCTCAGTGTCATAGCATCCCTGATTTCAATCTCCACTATCAGGAGGAGGTGGGGGAAACTGCACTCTTATTACCTGATGGCAGGTTGTCCTGCTTTCAGGCTTGTTATGATTTAGGTATTAGTTGCCCCTCCCCGGAAAAGCTCATGTGTGAAACAATGCAAAAATGTTTGGAGGTGAAATGACTGGGTTATGCAGATCTTAACCTAATCAATGCATCAGTCCTCTGATATTAGCTGTGTGTGTGTGTGGGGGGGGGTAACTATAGGCAGGTAGGGTGTGGATGGAGGAGGTGGGTCCCTGGGAGCTGCCTTTGGTATATATTTTGTCCTTGTTAAATGTAGCTATTTTGTGCTCTCCCTCCCCCCACCCCACCCCTGCTCTTACTCCTTTCTGGTTCTGTTAGAGTCTGTAAACAAGTCGGGATGGCACCTGGCATTTTGCCAGGGGGAGTGGTTTGTGAGGTGGCACCAGCAAGCCATTAAGTGTGGAGATTCCTTATTGGTTGACTGCTGTATCTAGTTTATGTTAAGATAAGCTGTGTGGAATGTATATATACCCCTCCAGTCCTACAATAAACCGGCTCCCACTCCTGCTGTATCAATCTACACAAGTTGTTCCTCACTCCCCGGCTATTTTTCCCAGCCAGCTGGGCTGCGGCAGATGGTGGCCCGTACCGGGATCCCTGGGACACTCAGGGGTAAGTGATGAAAAAAAAAAAAAAAAAAGCTGCCCATCCATAGATAGGACAGGAGCAAATCTGCTCATCCCTAGGCAGATAGGGCGAGAGGAAAAATGGCCATTTTGAGAAAATGGAGAAGATTGATACAGTATGTTTGTGTCTTGTTTTGTCTCAGTGTATTTTATTGTCTTTTTTTTTTTTTTAATTTGAGCTTTTTATTTTGTTTCAGATGGCTGGGCAAGGCATCTACATTCTGGAACCTCTTTACAGTCTCTAAACATGTGAAAGGCACTTATACATAAAAAGGCAAGGAGAAAATTGATCACGATTGTCTAACAGGGAACATGAGCCCCAAAATAAATTATCTTACAAAAATATCAAGCTTGCTTTTCCATTTTTCTATTACTCATAAAAATGAAAAAAAAATTACTTTTCACATTAAAAAAATCTGTAAGCTGCTATATCAAGTTATGGCTATTATTTTTTACATATTAAGTCCCTCAAATAAATATCTTACACAAATTTAAGTTTAAAAAAATCGGTCAAGTATTTACCCTATATTTCTTTGGCCCACTAACAGACCATTTATTAAACTGACATTAACTGGACTAGAGCTTGTAACTACAAATAGCAATATGCATATCATTGACCCTGAAGGCACACATGTACATATAATGTACTTGTGAAATGACTAACACTGCTGCATTTACTACTTCCATAAGTAGTTTCACCCTGTACAAAATCCTCTATCCTATCTCTCTCCCTCTCTCTCTTTTTTATTTATTTATTTTTTAATCAATACTAGGGATTGAACCCAGGGCCCTCTACAACTGAGCCACATCCCCAACCCTTTTTATTTTGAAACAGGGTCTCACTAAGTTACTGAGGCTGACTTCAACTTGTGATCCTTCTGCCTCAGCCTCTTGATTTGCTGAAATTACAGGTGTGAACCATTGCACCCTGTATCTTCTATCCTATCTTGAATCAAACTACAAGAACAAAAGACAATACTTGCCTATTACAGACACTGACTCAGGCATCATAAAAAAAAAAAAAAACATAAAGTTTTTAGACTTAAAGATTAATGAAAATGGGATAAATGCTAACACTGCTTTCAAATTCCTGAACATACAGCACACAGTCAATGCACTCGTGTGGAAAAAACAAGTGAATGAATTTTACAGAACTCTGGCTTCTTATCTGGTCTACTCCTGTTGTTATAAAGTTTTACAATGGTCTTGGATGCTGAAAGAGTTTTAATAAAATGTTACATTAACCAACTTTAAGATGTACAATGGAAGGGTATAGGATTTTTTGTTTCCTTCCCAGACACTTAAAGCTAATTTGATTTTATTGTAATTTTCTATTTTTATTAATAATGTGCTAAAACCAAAATTGACTGAATTATGGTTTTGTCCACACCATTCAACTCTCTTATTGTTAAAAATGTTGTCAGTAGACACATTTCATTTCCAATGGCCTGAAAGATTAATTTAACTTTAAACAACAACAACAAAAGTTAACTAAACTGGGATGAGGCAGATACAGTAAATCAATGCCAAGCATCCAAAACTCTAAAACACTAATACTTTCCATCCAGGGTAAAAAAATGAGCATCCAAAGTAAAGAGGACCACAAGACTGATCAAGTAACCAATCAAAAACCACTTCTCTGTTATTTGAGCTAATAGTTACTCGGAGCTTGAAGTTCCCACCTTCATTATTATTGGTAGTTCCTAGAGTCACAACTTCGATGTCAAATGTGACAGTGGATCCAGAGGTAACTGCAGGCAATTGATTAGTCATTTCTTTTCCATTTACAAAAACTGCACCATTGGTACTAATGCATACAGCTTGATCGCGCTGCAGAGAGTCATATCCATTCTGCTTCTCTGCACACACTCCTATACTATCTCTTCTGTCTGGCTGTCCCACAGTTTCAACTCTGAATGTTAATGTCTGCCCACAAATATAGGTTGGAGCGCTGGAGTAGAGAACACCTGAGGATTCAGAATCATTCCGGAGTGCTGTATTTCTTCGACTGCTCAGACTGTATTCCTCAAAGCCAGTTGTCCACTCATGAGGCACCAATGTAGAATGACCTATTTGGGGGACGCTCCACGGGCTCCACTCCTGTCGGCCGTCTCCTTGGGTGCAGACTCTGAACTGATAATCAACATTGGGGTCTATGTGCAATACTATGAATTCAGTTTCAGAACCTACATAAACATCTTCAAAATGATTTGAAGAGCATTTACGGAACTGAAGCCTGTAATCTTGGGCTGTGAAGCCATCATCCACCTTACACCATCGTACTATGATGCCTCCAGGTTTCTCTATTAGTTCTTCTATCTGCACTGGTGGGCGAGAGGCTACTGTTCCATGCTTAAAAATGTGATATTTCACTATGTTAAGAATTGAATCATCCAACTGAGCAGACAAACAAGGCACATCAACCAGTAAAGGCACTTCTGATAAGCTGTCCAACTGAATGTGTGAGGCCTTTTTGGTAAAGCTCCAAAGTTTCTCATTCTGTTTTTCTATGCCACCAAGAATGGCGATCTCACCTTCTCGAACTAAGTCCTCTGCAGTATTAACTCCATGTTCGATGAGCTTCTGGTAGTCATCTAGTGGTTTAATGGTCTCCTGTTCAATGGTGTCTACCTCTTGCAAAAGGGTCACCAATCGTTCATCGAGTAGCTTCCCAAGAGTTCCCTTTAAATCATTAAAATGCTGTTTGAAGACATCCCTTGTCTGTGATGCACTGTCTTTGATCTGCCGCTGCGCCTCCTGCAGCCCCTGCAGCCGGTGGCCCAGCTCACAACGGTAGCTCTGCAATGCCTCCACATTCTCACGGGCCTCCTGCAGCAGCAGCTCCCGCTCCAGTTCCATAGTTCCTCTCATCAGGCCCCACCGCAGGCGGTTGCGGGAGCGGGTTCCCGAGTGTGCCCCGCGCGGGCTGGAGGCCGGGGACTTGTATTGTCTTTATGATGAAAATATGAAAGGGGTGTTAAGTAAATTGATAAGGGAAAGAGGCACCCCAGTGGAACCAAGAATAGTTAGGGCATGTGTTGATGGAAGCCCAGGAACTCTAGTCAGAAAGAAGAAAGTTCAGAAGAAGAAGGATTATCAGGAAAAAAGTTGCAGCAAAAGGCTATTACTGAATACTTTCCCTTATTGGAGGGTGTGTGAATTGGCAGGGCGGCTGCCACGTGCTCCAGCCAGTCACGGTGCAGCAAGGACTTTCCAAGCAGCAAGCAGCGGCAGCCAGCTCTTCCCCGCCCCTGCCCGGGGAGTGGGACACCACTGCGAGAGCCCAAATCCAAACCTGACCCGGAGGCACAGTCTCACAGGCTCTTGCTCCCTGTGCCCAGTGGCAGTTTGAGTCCCGGACACTCCCCAGGGCCATCTGGGGCTGCCCGGGTCGCTGCAGGCAGAAGAAGGCCAGCGTCCCTGAAGTTTGATCATTTCCAAGGCCAGTACCTACAATGGTTCTCCCACACCTGGAAGCTAATGAGTAATGAGCACTATTAAGGCTTATTTCAAATGTAAAGAACCTTGAGATAATGTACTAAATTGTTCAGAAGGTTGTTTTCTTAGTGCCTGCTGGAATACTACAGGATTTTCTTTAGCCATCCGGAGTTCCTGCCTTCGTCCCAGTGCCGGTGAGGATGAAGGTGGAAGAATTTCCAGTGTTGCTGAGAACCAGATGAGACTTCTGATCAAGCTAGCTGCCTGCAGAACTTACCTGGACTGTGATTTACCTGGACTGTGAGTTAATCTATTGAGACACTGCTTTACCTGGACTGAGACAACAAACTGTAATCTACAACAAATTGTAACTCGGTATCTTTGCTAACGGTGTCATTGCTGGTATAATTTTTCCAAGGGCTTCTTGCATGGAGCCATCAATTGGCTTAGTATTGTGGCATTTTGTATCCTCCCCTTCTGCTTGTAGCAGATTATTTATGGTGTTTGTGTAAAAACCACTATGGTCATTATTTAAATTAAACAAAAGGGGGAAATGTTAGAGTCTGTAAACAAGTCGGGATGGTGCCTGGCATTTTGCCAGGGGGAGTGATTTGTGAGGTGGCGCCAGCAAGCCATTAAGTGTGGAGATTCCTTATTGGTTGACTGCTGTATCTAGTTTATGTTAAGATAAGCTGTGTGGAATGTATATATACCCCTCCGGTCCTACAATAAACTGGCTCCCACTCCTGCTGTATCAATCTACACAAGTTGCTCGTCACCACCCCCCCCCCCCCCCCCCCCAGTTATTTTGCTGCAGCCGACTGCGGCATGGTTCAATGACCTGAGCTGCTTTTCTCAACCACACATGGTGTTCTGCCCCACCTTGGGCACAGAGCAACAGAACAATGGAGTTGGTCACCTGTGGACTGACATCTCTGAAACCGAGAGCCCCCAAATAAATGTTTTCACCTCTAACTGTGACTGTTGCAAACTGAGGCTTCATACGACCAAGAAATCCTTGGTGCGGGTTAGGAGGAAGCTGGCAATGCCTACAGTCATCCACCAATCAGATATTGGGTGCCACTAAGAAGTCTGAGGCACTGCTTGGCTAGTACTGGTTTCCTTCCACTAAGTTCTGATCCAAAAACGCAACCTTGGGAGGCACTTCAAATCTCAAGAATAACTAGCTGGATTTAACTTCTTACTCTTACAAAAAAAAAAAAAAAATTCTTTCACCAGAACTTGCTCAGAAAAAGAAAATTTCAAAGCACGACTAAGAAATCACAGTCAAGGAATAAACAGGAACATGTTTCACTTAATTCCTTCACATTTAAGGCTACACCCAACCTGTACGAGGTGGAAAATTCTGAGACAAGTCTAAGTCGGACTTCTTCCGCCTACCCGCACTAGCCTGGACGAAGAAATCTCAGATATGGCCAAACTGAGTCCTAGTACACTTAAGTAATGGTAGCACTTATCCTCAGGGCTAAACCGTGCCTTCCACAGCAAACCTAAGTGCAAAGACTGCTAGACATGCAAATCAGTAAGGAATCTTCCCAAACTGGTGATCTGTGCCTGGTTCTAACACCAGAAATAGTAAGATTGATACCCCCCACACCCCCCGCAGGACTTTTGACAGAATCAAAATTACCGAGTGTGAAATTCAATGAAACACCATCCTTAAAAAACAAAGGAAGGCATGAGAATAGAAATAAAATGAACTGGGACTGAAAAAAAAATGACAAAAATATACAAAATACATAAATACATGTAAGCCAAATCAGTATTTAAAAACGTGTTGAAGCCAGGCATGGTGGCGCATGCCTACTGTAATCTCAGCAACTGGGAAAGCTGGGACAGGAGGATCACAAGTTCGAGGCCAGCCTCAGCAACTTAGTGAGCCCGTTTCCCAAGCAACTGATCAAGAGGATGACTCAATAAATAAATAAATAAATATTTTAAAAACCACGTTGTAAAAACGAAAGGGATATTGTAAGGGTAAAAGAAATGGAAGTTAAAGTGTAAAAGTTAAAGTGTAAAAGACCAGGCATTGTAAAGTTTCTAAGCTGCAAGGCCTGAGTTAAAATGTAAAGGACTAGTTATTGTTAAGTTCCTATGCTACATGCAAAACCTGAAATTCCTGTAGCTGTTAAGACAATGCTTGGAACCGCCCAGTAAATATTTCCCCTGACCGCCTGGTTGTTTAATAACTTAAGGGCTCTGTGTGGTCTTGCACGTAGGCATCGCAGGGCCTAAACCAATCAGTTTGAATGTGTACCCCGCTTTAGAACTGACCTATCACCCCCGCCTGACCTGTTCCCGCCAATGTATGTACTAATCAAGTCTAAGAATTGTTGTTTGACTTTCCCAAGGTGTATGGTGATTTGTTAAAGGAGACTGTGATGTATGTAAAGTCCCGCCCTCCCCAAAAAGTGTACTTAAGCATTGCACAACCCCTGCTCGGGGCTCTGGGCTGTTCTCCCTTCTTGAGTGAGCACGGAGCCCCAGCATGCTGGAATCTCAATAAACCCCACTTGCTGTTGCATGAGTCGTGGTCCCTTGGTGGTCTCTTCCTCAGAGGCTTCGCTGGACCCTTACAATATGAAATTAAATGAGAAAAGCCACGGCATATTTATATTGCAAATCGCACTAAGTAACAAAACTTAATGAGTATTAAAGATTAAGAAACCAATTCACTCTTTAAATCTACAAAATTCTGAGAGTGATTCTAAAATCGTACATGTCGTTTCTAAAAGTTGAAATGGATAAAAGCCTAAAATTATGGAAGGGAATGTGTAATAAGACGAATACAAATGTTTGAAACAGAAGAAAACGGCAAGTAATAGGCTACCTGAAACGCTACAGAGAATCATCAGGAGAAAGAGAATTTTTAAAAATTGACAAGGAACAACTAAAGGCAAATCTTAGTGTGTTTTAATTTCCTACGTGAAGCCGTTTTGTGAAGGAGAGTCTTCTCACAGAGTAAGGCCAGAGAGGCTCCTTCTCTTGATCTAAGGCTGCCTTGCATCCAGAGAAGGGTGGGCAGCACCCCCATGGCGTTAAGAACACCCGGGAATCCACACCAAGAGGCCTGAGGAAACCAGGTGCGGGTTCCACCAGTTGGAGGAGACAGGTCCGGGGCACTCGGAGAGACACTGGTCCGCAGAGGTCTCGGTGTCCAGCGGCTGGTCACGGGAGTAGGAGGGTGGGAGGCTGCGTCCTTCGCAGTGAAATCTGCTACACCCATGAGTGCGTTAGGCTCTTCCGCAGACTCCATCCCATCTGCCGGAGCCTCCAGTTTCTTGCGTCGCAGCTTCCAGACTTTGGTTGGTTCCCAGGAGCTCTGGACTCCCGCGGAATCCGTTTTGCAGGTGGATCCCGCGCCCCCGCCAACAGGACTAGAGAGCCGCTCCCAGTCGAAGTCGCAGTTGTCAACGGTGAACTCTCCTTGGACAGGGTAGCAAGGAAGAGGCCAAGGCCCACCGGCTTCTAAGCTCAGCACAGCAGGAGACAGCAGGTCTGGCGCCACCTCCGCGGAATCCCAAGCCTGCTTCATAGTGCCCAGAAAATGCTACTCCATAGCGTGAGCCTCAGAGAAACAGGACAGAAGCCTCTGCGCTGATGGAGAGATGAGGCAGAGCCTCCGCACCATCGCCATCCTGAGTATTTATGGTTTTCCAGGCAGAGGGCGGGGACAAGCCAGCTAAAATGCAGTGATAGCAAACTCCTGGAACTCAGTAGGCGAAAACAATACGATAAAAATTTAGATTGTATATAGAACAGAAATGATTAGACGCGACGGGAAAACGTAGCTGAAGAACAAACCGAAATAAACGGAGCTGAAGGGGAACTGAACCTAAGAGATCCAGAGCCGGCTCTTCGGGCCGGCATCACTGTAGTCTTTGCACAAATCACCTCTTGCCCGTTTATGCGGTATGGAGCCGGCGTTTGCATCCGGCAGCTGTGCAGTATCTGGCTCTCTTAGTACCACAAGAGTGCCCTGTTACTAGCACCAGTTTCCTACCGAGCCATGGCATTTCTCCTAGCTGGGTCTGTGGATGGAGTGCCACACCCTCTCCCAAAGCTCCTTGCTTCTCTGTGACCGCCGGACTAAACGACTAAACGCTGCCCAAAGAGGCGTTCTTTTGACAACAGCAACGCCCTTTGCCAGACCCTGGCGTCTCCTGCGCTGCTTGGTCCTGGTTCCCTGGCTGATAGGAACAGCGCCTTGGGCCACAGTGTTTGTCAGGGCGGCAAGGCTAATTGCCAGGAGACCTAGGGGCCAGGCAGCGATCCCTGACACTTGTAGGTTCAGTTCCCATTCAGCTCCGTTTATTTGGGTTTGTTATTCGGCTACAATTTCCTTTGGCACTTAATCCTTTCGGTTTTAGGTAGGAGACTCCACCCACCAGATAGCAACGTAAATCCCATAG